TGTGGGTGTAAAATATCTTGATTTCAGTCAGGCTTTTGACAAGGTTTCTCCATTATGTTCTTACAAGCAAGGTAGCAAACTGTGGTCTTCCCAGTGTTACAAGTATATAGATCTGTAAGTCTTTGATAAACTGAATGCAGAGAGTTTGGCTATACTTTGTCTTGTAGAAAAGGGGCTAATAGGATGCTACAGATCTCTGTCCTAGCTGCAGTGTTGTCTAACATCTTTAGGAATGATGTCAATTATGAAATAGAAGCCATGACATCAAATTAGGGGGTGTAGCTGATGTCCTATAGGATAGGAGCAGGATTCAAAATGATTGGAGACCAGGGACAAACATAACGATGAGAGATAAACATAAGTATTACATGTATGGCTGCCACTTGGCTTGAGAACAGTACATGTAAATAAAAGGGATGCAAGAATCTTAGTAGACCGCAGGCTGAACACAAATCAGCAGCGTGATACAGCAGCTAAAACAGCCAATACTGCTTTAAGCTCCATCAATAAGAATATAGTATATTCATATCAAAGAAAAGTAAGGCATTTTCTCAGGGGAAGTTGGTCTCACTGCCGTGTAGCGGGAAGCCATCGGAAGCGAACGAGCAGTGCCAGTCGTCAGACGCTCATTGACTGGCATTGTGGTGAAGGTTAGAGATGAATGTCCTCATTCCGTTTCCCTCCAAGTTCACGCTGTAATATGCTATTGAAATGCTAACGGCAAGAATGCCGCTGTGATTCAATGTGAAATCAGTTCAGTTTATGGAGAGGACATAATGTCAAGACAGCATGTGACAAAATGGGTATGGAATATATTGCAAGACCATGAAGAAACTTCGCAGAGCCATCCAAAACAAACGTCGTAGGATGCTGATGGCAAGAGTCTGTCTCCTTCATGACAATGCATGTCCGCACACCGCTCATGCAACACAAAAGCTGTTGACTTCATTTGATTGGGATGTTTGAAGCCACCCCTCTCACAACTCTGATCACGCACCCAGTGACTTCCATCTGTTCACTAAATTGAAGGAACGCCCGGGTGGAAAACACTTTTCCCACAACGATGAGGTGAAAATCAAAGTGACAAACTGGCTAAAAAAGGTGGAGGGAAACTTCTATGACACAGGCATTAAAAACTCGTCCCACGGATTTCAAAACGTGTTGAGCTGAAATGTGATTGTGTGGAAAAATAATGTAATACCTATGCTACAATCCATGTAAGTTTATTAAAATATATTCATTCTTTGTATTTTTAAAAAATATAACCTTACTTTCTGGATAGCTCTCCATTCTGAACTTTCTTCTCTCCCAAATCATATGCAATCCCTGCTTTGAATACTCTTTTCCTGCGATGCAGATGTTTCCTTTCCTAAAAGTAAAGGCAGTATTTATCTCCTGCCTGCATGTCCCCTAATAGTGTTGTAACAGACTACGGCTGTTACAAGACCTTGGAGGCGGGAATTCCACACCAAAGCTAGGTCTCTTTTGGACGGGTGTGGAGGGGAGGCTTTTGTTTGCTTATTGTGTCCTCCTGTTTGTCCTTGCTTAACTCATTTATTCCCCCCCCCCCCCGCCTTGCTTGCTTGGGTGATGGGAGGTGACACATGTTGTTGCATTGCCTTGTGGTGTCATCATCTCTTCGTTTATCAAGGACTCCCCGGCATGCACAAAACAACTTATCTCGGCGTCAGCAACCATCCAACTGCTTTACCCACCCATTGGATTGTGTGGTGTTCCTCCCCAGCTGTGGACGGCCCCACTTTGACAGGGCAGCCAATCAGACTGCCGTTGTTGCTCCACCGCTTAGCTGTTTTGCTGGATCTGTTGACAGCTTTGTCGCATTTGGCTGCTCTCCTCCTTCCCTCTCCAGAGCTGAGCTCTTGGTGGCTCAAGGGGGCTGTGGGAACCCGATCTGGACATGTTCCTGGACAGCTCTGTAGTGCTGGCGGCACGGACAGTCCCCACATCAGTCTAAAGATGCCACTGGGGAGATGTCGACCCCAGGAGCCCAGAAGCGTGTTTTTGGAACTCCTCTGTTGACCTGCGGAGGAAAGGGCAGGGAGGGTGTGCATTGGATGGGTAAACCAAACAAGCAACCTGTCAGGCAGCTGCGCACTTGGGCTGCTCTGAGGAATCTCTGTTGGCTTTTTATTTGTTGTTGTTGTTGTTCAGGGTGCATGTTCTTAACCTAAAAGATAATATGTGACACCACAGTTCATTATGTAAGCATGTTGGCCATTAATGTTGCTGCCTAATTTGCCACATTGCTTGCAGCTTATTTTTGTTTTCGGCAACTGAAAAAAAGCAGGAGCTATTTTTTTTTCAAAATTATTTTCAGCTCTGCTAAGCCCTTGCAATAAAATTAATCTTTCTCTGTCTCTATCTCAGGATGAGGGCCCAAAAGAGCAACCTCAGGTGTTGCTGTAAGTCAGTGGTTCTCAACCTTCCCAATGCCGCGACCCCTTAATACACTTCCTCATGTTATGGTGACCTCCAACCATAAAATTAGTTTCATTGCTACTTCATAACTGTAATTTTGCTGCTGTTATGAATAGTAATGTAAATATTTGATATGCAGGATGTATTTTCATACACTGGACCAAATTTGGCACAGATACCCAATACACCTAAATTTGAATACTGGTGGGATTGGGGGAGGATCTTGATTTTGTCCTGTGCGAGTTGTAATTGCTGGGATTTATAGTTCACCTACAAAGAACATTCTGAACTCCACCAACGATGGAATTGAATCAAACTTGGCACACAGAACTGCCATGACCAACAGAAAATACTGGAAGGATTTGGTGGGCATTGAAGAGTTTTGGGAGTTGTAGTTCACCTACATCCAGAGAGCACTGTGGACTCAAAACAATGATGGATCTGGACCAAACTCGGCACAAATTCTCAATATGCCCAAATGTAAACATTGGTGGAGTTCTGGAAAATAGACCTTCACATTTGGGAGTTGTAGTTGCTGGGATTTATAGTTCACCTACAATCAAGGAGCATTCTGAACCCTACCAACGATTGAATTGGGCCAAACTTCTCACACAGAACCTCCATGACCAACAGAAAATACTGTGTTTTCTGGTGGTCTTTGGTGACCCCTCTGACACCCCCTTGCGACCCCTCCAAGGGGTCCTGACCCCCAGGTTGAGAAACACTGCTGTAAGTTCTCAGGTGTAATTTGCCAGGTTCCATGCAGCAAAATCCAGAAAACAGAAATAGCTGCTGCTGCAAACATCCTAGGTCTCTCTCTCTCACCCACCAACAGCTGCCTTCTTCTGCTTGCATTTGGAAACTCTCTTTGCACCTTGCTTTTAGGACACTTTCTGCAGCAGCCAATGAGCACACTGGGCAGCCATATATGAAGTGCTTGGTGGGGCTGGGGTTATTATATATTTATTTATTTCTATCCTGTCTTTCTCTCGAGTCAAGACTCAAAGTGGTGAACAACATGTAAAAAGTAGAAAACTATAACACAATAAAAATGAACCACACCATCATAATCATATCTTATAAAAGGAATAAATTATACAAAACCCAACATCAATATAATAGACTATTAGCACAAACATAGTTAAACAACTATGTTAAAAAAAACTCTAAAATTACAACAGCACAACAACAGAGAAGAAACAAACAAGGACATCTAATCACCTCTCAACAAAAGTTTGCTCTAGGCACTGTCAGGCCATTATATGCTAATCAAGGTGGTCAGTTGAAACATTCACACCTAGCTCCAGCAGACAAGAGTCCTTTGTCCCACCCTGGTCATTCCACAGATATATAAACCCTTTTCCTAGTTCCAACAGACCTCACTACCTCTGAGGATGCTTGCCATAGATGCAGGCAAAACGTCAGGAGAGAATCCTCTAGAACATGGCCATATAGCCCGAAAAAACCTACAACAACCCAGTGATTCCGGCCATGAAAGCCTTCGACAATACATAGTTAAACAAGAATAGATTAAAACCCCATCTAAAATCGAATGACTGGAGTGTCCAGCCGGTCTAGCCAAAAATGCCAGCAAAGTTTGGGGGGCTGGGAAGAAGAGGAAGTTTGTGGTTTGGTAGCTCAGCGCAGGCTCATCCCACCCTGTATTGACTTGTTAGAAAAAGTGGGGAAAGGTGCACCAGCGCCTAAGGGCTATTTTTAACCCAGGGTTACTGCAAAACTGGCTCTGCAAGAGGTTTTACCAGCCTATCTGGGACGGTTGTTGTTATTGCCAGCGGCTGCTCTTTTTCCAAAGTGCCACAGTGCTAATAATCTCACAGTGTTGACCGCAACACATTGCAGAGGGATATGATTACAGTGGGAAACAAAGGAGCTAGCCCTTCACAATCCCAAACTGAAGAAAGTTGGCATGGGATTGTGGTGGAATCGGCTCAGCTGAAATGTGACCGTGGAGTAGAGTTCTGTGGATACAATGGCACACCAAAGAAGACAAATAAACAGGCCCAAAAAGTAAAAATAAAATAGTTACTACTCACTAAACCAGGCATGGGCCAAATTTGGCTCTCCTCTAGGTGTTTTGGACTTCAACTCCCACAATTCCTAACAGCTGGTAGGACTGTTCAAAAAGTAGTATGTTTTTCCCACAAGATTATGCCATTGTCGACTTGTAGATTCTGTGGCAGAATGAAAATCACACATAGTTCACATTTTACCAGTCCACACACTGTCTTGTCAGAGAGAAAAAATATGCCACACAGATGAACAAGAAGTTTACTCTTTGTAATGCAGGGCAACATATATACAGTCATGTGAGAGAGATTCAAATGGTCTTCGGGTATCCATGTAGAAGCCTTTCTTCCAGCAGACCAGGAGCAAAAATTAAAACTCTCTGCAAGCTTATGCACAGCTAATGTCTAAATATGTAACTGTTGCCAAAACTCCCAGGCTCAGCTAGCTTCTTGGGCATAGCCCAACCAATCAGCTTCATGCTTTGCATTTTCAGTTAACAAACTCACCAACTGATTTTTTACATTCCCTAACAGATCCTACAGGAAGGAGCAGAGAGAGCCCAGCGTCACCTCTTCATCGAGGCCTTTGTTTCAACAGGCAGGGTGGATAACATTACCATGGTGATGGGGCTTCATCCTGAGTACCTAACCAGCTTTTGGAAGACACAGTACCTCCTGCTGCGGATGGACGGGCCTCTACCATATCACAAACGCCACTACATTGCCATCATGGTGAGTGCATACGTGCGTAGAAAAGAGGGATTCACTGGCAGGTGTAGACTCCAAAGGAGCCATATTGTGTTTGAATGAATATGTGCACATACATCAATCGTAAGGATCTCCATATGGTCTGGCAACAGTTCCCATCAGCTTCAGGCAGCAGAGCAAAATACTACGATTTGACAGGTGACGATTGCTGAGAGTTAACAGTCCAGCTTCTGGAACTGCACAACTTCAACGCTGGTTTATACCAAGAAATATTTGATTCCATTATTATTATTATGTTTATGTTTATTTATATCCTTTTTTTCTCTCCATACGGAGACTCAAAGCAGCTCACAAGTGCAATACATCTTCAAATATATAAATATACAAGTATTAAAACAGTATTGAACATCATTAAACATTGAACGCTCAATTCCTTTCAGCTTTTAGCATTACACCAAGATGCCTATATATTTCATCAGATTACAGTATATATATATATGCAGGGGTGACTCATCCATTACGCAAAGTAAGCGGTTGTAGTACACTTTTTTTTTTTGCCAGGGGCGCAGAGGCGCCTCTGTAAATGCCCCTCGACCGCCACTTGAGGAGTGCCCCCTCGGCTCACAACAGCCCTAGCAGTCTGGGTGGAGCTTTGGCTTCCTTGCCTCGCTGCCGGGCGATCCTCTTCCCGAAGGGGCCGGGCCCTTGAGCCTCGCCTAGCCCCTCTCGTTCCTGCTCAACCAGGCCGCAGGGTGCGCTCAGAGCCGGCGCTCAGTCGTTCTCTGTGTTCGATCCCTTCCGCATGACCAGCTCCCTTTCCCGAGGCCCCTGCACTCCACCCGCTTCCTCTTCTCTCCCCAATCCATGGGTGGGCCAAGGGGCGGAGCCGCTGCGCCGCACTTGCTTCCTTGCCTGGCCCACTTCGGGTCCAGAGGCGTGTCTGAAGACCCTGGCGTGCGCACCAAAAGTCGCCTCTTCTCCTGACTTTCTCCTCAGCCATTGGGACCAAGAGAGAGAGAGAGAACCCCTCCGGCCGGAGGTATCTCCCACCTCCGCTCCCTCCTTTGTTTTTGCGCCTACCTTCAGGAAAAGTGGGCATCTCCGCCTCTCTCTCTCTCGATTCCAATGGCTGAAGAGAAAGTCAGGAGAAGAGGCGACTTTTGGTGTGCACGTTGCGAGTTGTAGTTACTGGGATGTATAGTTCACCTACAATCAAAGAGCATTCTGAACTCCACCAATGATGGAATTGAACCAAATATGTCATATAGAACTCCCACGATGAACAGAAAATATATATAAATGATTGGTGGGGGGGGGGGCAAAATACTGTTTGCTTACCATTGAAAATTACCTAGGGCCGCCTCTGTATATATGCTTATTTACATCCACAGCAGTATGTAGCAGCACAAAACAGAAAGACTGCTTGTGGTTTCATCCTTCATTTTAATATGTATAGAAATATGTTTATAGAATTTTTACGATGTGTATATATTTTAACTTTAACTTTGAATATGTTTTAATGGTTTTTACCTGTGAAATTTTAATACTGTTTATATTTACGTATATACTTCATTATAAGCCGATCCAAATATAAGCTGAGGCACCTAATTTTGCTAGAAAATGCTGGGAAAATGTATTGATTTGAATATAAGCCATGGGTGGGAAATGCAGCAGCAACTGGTCAATTTTAAAATCAAAATAGAGGGCAATAAAATTATATGAATTTGAGGCATCTGTAGATGAAAAGTTTTTGAAGATTTACATAAAACTGTAATTTAACATAACACTGTCCAATTCTGATGAAACCATTATTCTAACCTTCAATGTAAATGTGCTGAGGTATCCTTCCAATAATAATAGAGTAAAATAATAAATGTAATAATAATAATAAAGTTAAATAATGAAAATGTAATAATAGAGTAAAAATACATAATAATAATAATAATAGAGAAATATAATAAATATAATAAAAATAATAATAGAGTACAATAATAAATGTAATAATAATAGAGTAAAATAATAAATGTAATAATAATAATAATAATGAGAGAAAAATAATAAATGTAATAAAATAACAATAGGGTAAAATAATGTAAGTGTAGTGATGACAATAAAATAATGTAAAATAAGAAATGTAATAATAATAACAGAGTAAAATAATAAATAAGTTTCGCTCGCATATAAGCCGAAGGAGGCTTTTCCAGCCTTAAAAAAGGGCTGAAAAACACAGCTTATACTCAAGTATATATGGTAATTCTGTTTCAGTGTTTGCATATTTGTATATTTAAATAGTATGCTAATGCTTTTAGGTTAAGCTGCTCTGAGTCTTCTCTGGGAGAGATAAAGTGCGGTATAAGTGGTGCTGTGGTTTTTAACTTTGAATGTTTTGAATGGATTTTAACTGAATGGATTTTTGAATGGATTTTAACTGAATTTGTTAGTGCTGTTTGTGTTTAATTCTGTTTTAATGTTTGTATACTTGTAAGTTTTAAATGGTATACTAATGCTTTTATGTCAAGCTGCTTTGAGTCCCCTTTGGGGAGATAAAGCGGGGTATAAATAAATATAATAATAATAATAATAATAATAATAATAATAATAATAGGATTAGTATGTTTTTTATTTTCAATTTACATATTCATAAAAACAGTGAAACAAATCTATATACATGTATATATGCATGAACCAATGCAATATTATTATTATTCTAATTACACAGTAACCCACCATGAGGAGCGGGGGTAAGAAATAAAATACTATAATGATTATAATTATTGTTAATCATCTCATTTCCCCACCTGCTTGGCTTAGCCTTGTTCCTGGTATTTCCATCCCATCAAAATCTCATTTGCTTCACATGCAGAATAGAAGGAGCCAGGTGACCTGCTAAGTGGAAGCCATTGAGCAGTTGCAAATTCAGAAGAGACCTTCTATATAGACCTCCAGATGCTGTTGAACTTCAGCTTCCAGCATTCATGATTGTTGATAGTGTTGACTTGGATCTGATGTGGGTTACAATCCAGGAACATCTATGGGATCTATGGGATCTCCTTCTTGCCTGAGGACATTTTGCTCTCTGTATATAAATGGTAGCTGAGCTTCACACTACAGGGAGATAGGCTTGCAAAAGGGTTTTTTGTATTTTCAAAAGATAGAATCAGCATTTATTGCCTTGCGCCATTTCCCTGTTCCAAGCAAACCTAGGAGGCATCCCTCTCAAAATGACACATCCATCTTGTTTGCTTTCTCAGGCTGCTGCGAGGCATCAGTGTTCCTATCTGGTTGGCTTCCACATGGGGGAGTTTCTGCAGATGGGTGGGGATCCAGTTTGGCTGCGCGGCTTACAATACGCCCCGCAGAAACTGAGGAATCTCAACGAAATCAACAAGATTCTGGCCCACCGACCTTGGCTGATTACTAAGGAACACATCAAGGTGAGTAAGGGGAGATTGGAACTGGGAACCCTAAAATTGCTAACAATTCTGTGGCCGTTCGTGTTCAACAAGTTTGGAAAAAACTTCTCAACAATGTGGGAGAATGGTTAGATTCACACATTGTCCCAAACATGGTACCCTCTGAATATTTTATACAGTTTCTAGCATTCTTGAGTCCTCTTTGTTTTTTATATTGACAAGAACTGCTGGAAGTTGAACACCTGACGGACCCCATGTTAGGGAAGGATGAGTGCTATAAGGAACTGCTGTGTATCGACTATGGTATTCTTCTGGGGCGGCTCTCCAGAATGGTTCTTGAGGGCATTGCTCTGCAGTGGCTCCGCTGCTTCCTGGAGGGTCGCTCCCAGTTGGTGAAGCTGGGGGATACCTGCTCAGACCCATGGCCTTTGACTTGTGGGGTCCTGCAAGGTTCCATTCCATCCCCCATGCTTTTCAATATCGACTGAAACCACTGGGTGAGGTTATTCAGAGTTTTGGAGTTGGGTGCCATCTCTACGCAGATGACACCCAACTCTACTACTCATTCCCACCTAATTCCAAGGAAGCCTCCCAGACCTTAAACCAGTGTCTGACAGCTGTGATGGACTGGATGAGGGCTAACAGGTTGAATCTTAATCCAGACAAGACAGAGGTCCTCCTGGTCTGTATTGGGTGGCAACCTGTGCTTGACAGGGTTGCACTCCCCCTAAAGGCGCAGGTCTGTAGCTTGGGGGTCCTCCTGGACTCAACGCTGTCGCTTGATGCTCAGGTGTCGGTGGTGGCCGGGAGGTCCTTTGCACAACTCAAACTTGTGTGCCAGCTGCGACCATACCTCATGAAGTCTGACTTAGCCAGGGTGGTCCACGCCTTGGTTACATCCAGACTGGACTATCGCCTATCTCCGCGATCGCATCTCCTTCTATGAACCGGCGTGAACTTTAAGACCTTCCGGGGAGGCCCTCCTTTCGCTCCCACCACTGTCACAAGTACAGTGGTGGGATGAGAGAGAGGGCCTTCTCAGTGGTGACCCCCCGCCTCTGGAACACCCTTCCCAGGGAAATTAGACAGGCCCCATCCCTCCCCTTGAAGACTTGGTGGTTTCAACAAGCCTTTGAGAATGACTAGTTCTAGATCAGCCCTAGACATTTTTGAATATGGCCTTATTCTTCCTTCCAATTTACCCAGGTCACTTCCTCTAATAGGCCCCAGGAATGAATAGCCATAGAACCTGCTAGAGCACTGCACTTAATTCCTGGGCCCCTAGAATACAGTAGAGTCTCGCTTATCCGACATGAATGGGCCAGCAGAGTGTCGGATAATCGAAAATGTCGGACAATATGGAGTCTCCTACTGTTACCCATCCGATGCAGTGCTAGACACCTAAAATATTTTGTCAGGAGCGACTTGAGAAAGTACAAGTCACTTCTGGTGTGAGAGAATTGGCTGTCTGCAGTGACGTTGTCCAGGGGACACCTGGATGTTTTGATGTTTTACCATCCTTGTGGGAGGCTTCTCTTATGTCCCTGCAAGGGGAGCTGTGGCTGACAGAGGGAGCTCATCCACCCTCTCCCCAGATTCGAACCTCCGACCTGTCAGTCTTCAGTCTTGCCAGCACAAGGATTTAACACATTGCACCACTGGGGATTCCTACCTAGAATACTAACAACAGGGACTCAAAGGTTTAAGACAAGGCAATGCCTCAGGGCTAGAGTGGCTCAGCAGGAAGTGCCTGGATGCAGAAGAGGAGCATGGAAATCCCAGAGGGAAGGAGGGAGGATACTTCTGCTTCCGATCCTGCCTCCTTTCCTCCCTCCTCCTCCTCTTGCTTTTTTCACTTATTGGGAATGTCAGAGAGTTGGAGAGCACTCCTTTAATTGATGGGGAAATGCTGGAGGAAAAGGAGACGTCGGATAAGAGCATTGGATAAGATGGAATGTCGGATAAGTGAAGGTCGGATAAGCAAGACTTTACTGTAGTTCTGGTCTCAAGTAAACAAAAGAAACCTGGAACCTGATACAGTGATACCTTGAGTTAAGAGTTTAATTGGTTCTGTGGCTGAGCTCTTAACTCAAATCTCTCTTGTCTCAAAGCAAATTTTCCAACCCCCCTGAACTCTCCCCCAATTTATTTCTTATGTGCTTTTAAATAAGAAAAACTATGTAATAGATAACAAAGAATGTCTAAATGAACATTCACATGGACCAATAAGAAAGATTGACTTTAAAATGGTAGAAGCACCAAGTTGTGGCAAGGAAGCACAAAGTGAAAAAGAGGCAGAAGCATCCTTTTCTTCTTCCTCTTCTCTTCCTTCCAGCCTCTCTCTCTCTCTTGCTCTCTGTCTCTCTCTCCATGAAGCCAAACAGACCAGAAATAAAAACCACAAAAAAATCAACTAACCCAAAGTTTCTCAAAGCAGGCAAAAGCAAAGCAGACAGCAATCTCTCCCCAAAAGCGGACTAGGGCACAAGGCTGGAGGCTGCTCCCTTGAAGCCTGTCAAGCCCAGTACTGACTGTTACGAATTGTGGGAATTGAAGTCCAAAACTCTCTTGTCTCAAAGAGGGCCCAAGTTTGCCCATGCCTGGGCTATCTTTCTGTTTTGGTTGTACCCAATGTCCATTAATTTCGGCCACCTCGCCCTCCCCTTCCCCATTTGCTGCTTGTAGATATGCAGCTCTTTGATATGTAGAGCTCAGAGGGACTCAAGCTGTTGTTTTCCCCCCCACAGGCGCTCCTGAAAACAGGGGAGAACAGTTGGTCATTGGCAGAACTCATCCAGGCGCTGGTGCTGCTCACCCATTACCACTCGTTGACTTCCTTTGTGTTTGGCTGCGGCATCAACCTGGAGAGCGACCAGGAAGCGGCCCACGCCTTCCAGCCCCCTTCCCCACACAGCTGTGACAGCAGCCCAGGCTCCGACGAGGGGATGAACACTTCCAGCGTGAGTTGGCAGAGTGAAAAAAAACCTCTCTTAGATGCATTCTGAAAATCAGAATGCATTTGGGGCTTTTGTTTACTATATTTGAGATAATGGGATCACATCTGGGATTGTTCAGGACTCAGACTCCATTTTAGAAACAGTACAGTTTAGAAGTTAAGGGAAACTGAATGCTTTAGAGACTCTATTACACTCTCAGACCGGATAGATCAGCGTTTCTCAACCTTGGGGTCGGGACCCCTGGAGGGGTGTCAGAGGGGTTGCCAAAGACCATCAGAAAACACAGTATTTTCTGTTGGTCATGGGGGTCTCTGTGTGGGAAGTTTGGCCCAATTCTATCATTGTTGGGGTTCAGAACACTCCTTGATTGTAGGTGAACTATAAATCCCAGCAAGTACAACTCCCAATTCTCAAGGTCTATTTTCCCAAAACCCCACAAGTGTTCACATTTGGGCATATGGAGTATCCGTGCCAAGTTTGGTCCAGATCCATCATTGTTGGAGTCTAGAGTGCTCTCTGGATGTAGGCAAACTTCAACTCCCAAACTCAAGGTCAACACCCTCCAAACCCTTCCAGTATTTTCTGTTGGTCATGGGAATTCTGTGTGCCAACTTTGGTTCAATTCCATTGTTGGTGGAGATCGGAATGCTCTTTGTTTACAGGTTCACTATAAATCCCAGCAACTACAACTCCCAAATGGCAAAATCAGTCCCCCCGCCAACCCCACCAGTATTCAAATTTGGGCATACCGGGTATTTGTGCCAAATTTGCTCCAGTGAATGAAAATACATCCTGCAGATCATTATTTACATGGCGATTCATAATGTTAGGGTTATGGTTGGGGGTCACCACAACATGAGGAACTGTATTAAGGGGTCACGGCATTAGGAAGGTTGAGAACCACTGAGATAGATGCTTTGAACTTTAGACTGTTAGTTCTGAGAAAGATGCCCTGTGTTATCTGCACAGAGAAACTACTTCAAATCTATTTGCAATTGGATTGATATGCAAAGTACCTGTTTAATGAAGTTTGTGAGTAAACCAACGATATTACTTTTAAAGAAGTCTACTTATTTCTCATGTCTCGAGAGTGGGTGACAAACACTATAGCTGTGGTTATTTGAATTCTGAGATTTTGCATTGGGAGCTGTGCGGTGGCGTTGGGGGTGTGGAGCATGGGGGTGTTGTTTTGTTGTGTTTGCAGGGGAAGGTATGTAATTTCATTGTGCAAGAGCACAATGACAAACAAAGGTATTCTCTTCTATTCTAAGTATGTGAAGAGGGCTCCATCCTATGTGTAAGAATTTCAAAATTCTTCCTACCGTATATACTCGACTATAAGCCGAGTTTTTCAGCCTTTTTTTCAGGCTGAAAAACCTCCCCTCGGCTTATATTCGGGTCAGGGTCCTGGCAGGAGTGTGTGGGGCTGAAGGAAGAGCCCTTTCCCCATGTCTTCCCACCTCTCCTCCTCCCTCGCTCGCTGCGTGCCTTTCCCTCCTCTGAGCCTGCAGGAGAGCAAGGCCATAGACAAGCCCCACGGCTTCCTCCTCCGCCGAGGAAACCTCGCATGGAACGAGGGAGGAGGGAAAGGCAAGCCTTCCTCGGCAGCCTCGGCAGCGGCAGAGGAGCAATCCCCTGCGGCAGGCTTTTCCGCAGGTTTGCTCTCCTTCCTTGTCCCATGCACGGCCGCAGTGGTGGGGGCAGCGGCGGGAGGAAGCAGAAAAGGCTGCGCATGGGGCAAGGGGAAAGTGTGCGCCGCTCCTCTTCCTCTCTTGCTGCGCGCGCACCTTCTTCGGCAGCAGAGGCAGGAAAGACGCGCGAGGGAGAAGGGAAAGGTGCGCGCCTTTCTCTCCTCCCATGTCCCATGTGCGCCTTCTTCGGCAGCGGCGGTAAAGGCACGCACAGGGCATGGGAGGAGAGAAAGGCGCGCACCTTTCCCTTCTCCCTCGCGTGTCTTTTGTGCCTCTGCCGCCAAAGAAGGTGCGCGCGCGGCAAGAGAGGAAGGGGAGCGGCGCGCACTTTCCCCTCGCCCCTTGCGCACCTTTTCTGCTTCCTCCCGCTGCTGTCCCCGCCACTGCTGCTGCGCATGGAACAAGGAAGAAGGAGAGCAAGCCTGCGGAAAAGCCTGCCGCAGGGGCTTCCTCCTCCTCTGCCACCGCTGAGGAAAGCTCGTGCTCCATGAGGAGGGTGGGAGGGGATGACAGAAAGACTGGGTGGCCATCTGTCAAACTGACCAGTAACGGCTGCATTTCTCACCCTCAGCTTATACTCGAGTCAATAAGATTTCCCAGTTTTTTGTGGTAAAATTAGTTGCCTCGGCTTATATTCGGGTTGACTTATACTCGAGTATATACGGTAAATTGTATTTAGATAATCTTGTATGCTTTGCTTGCTTTGGTTTTCTTTGTAGAATCAAAACTTTGGGTGGTCTCTTGGTGTAAATCTAGCTAGCAAAGTTAAAGGTGTTATTTCTGTTCAATTTAATTCGTCTGTTTTGAATCTTTTTAAAACATCATGTTGAAAAAGATGACCACTTGTGGCATTTAAGATATGCTTGGCTTCTGGGTCCCAGAAATCCCAGCTGACCTAGAGATTAGGGGGGGGGGGGTGTAGTTCAAAACCCTTCAAAGGTGAGAAGGAGGGTCTGTGTGATGCATCTTGTCTCCTGCAATCGTTGCTAAACCAACCCTGTCTGCTTCCAGTTTTCCCAGGGCACAGATGCTATGGAGGAAGTAGAAGTGCTGATGGAAAGGATGAAGCTCTTGCAGGAATGCCAGCTGGATGAAGAAGAAGTCACCCCGGAGGAAATGGAAATCTGCTTTGAGAGGGAAAAGAGAGAGAGCCTCCTTGTCACTCCCTCAGGTAAGATGAGATAAGAAGTTAATGTCAGAAAAATTAAAAATTAACTGGGTATTTTTGACTGCAAAAATATGAGTCAAGCACTGAAAGTGTGAGTAGACCGAAGCCTGTTAGTGTTAGTTTGCCTCAGTGAGGGAATGCCTCTGTCTGTGTGAGGAGGCTTCTCTGTGAAGTCTATGAGAAGACCGAGTGTGAGATGCTTCGGTGAAAGAAGCCCCAGGTTAAAGGCCTTGTGTGTAGAGCTGTGTGTAAAGCAATTATATGAAGCTTATGTGTAATTTTGGTGTGAGAGGAGGCTCTGTGAGAGCAAAGCTGTTTAACTGCATGAGGAAGAAGCCCAGCATGGAAGTATAAAGGACTTTATGTTGTGGAAACTTTGTTGTAAATAGTGCAACCATTACATCCCGAATAGACTACTGCCATGCACTCTATGTGGGGCTGCCTTTGAAGACTGTCCAGAAGCTCCAACTAGTCCAGCGGTTGGCAGCCAGGTTGCTCACTGGAGTGGCGTACAGGGAGCACACAACCCCTCTGTTCCACCAGCTCCACTGACTCCTGATCAGCTTCCGAGCACAATTTAAAGTGCTGGTTTTAACCTTTAAAGCCCTAAACGGTTCTGGCCCAGACTGCCTGTCCGAACGTATCTACTGTTACAAACCATCACGGAGTTTAAGATCATCAGGAGAGGCCCTGCTCTCAATCCCACCACCATCGCAAACACGATTGGTGGGCACGAGAGACAGGGCCTTCTTAGCAGTGGCCCCCCATCTGTGGAACTTTCTCCCCTCCTGTCTTTTAGAAGAAAACTGAAGACTTGGCTATGGGACCAGGTGTTTGACTAGTGAATAGCAGCAAGTGGAAAGAAGCCTTAGGCAACTCGTGGCAATGAATTAACCCAGATTTGGATTTGGTTTTTAACTAGCGTGTTTAATCAATCGTTTTAATGAACTGTTTTAATGTGTTTTTTGGTTGTTTATGATGGTGATGGCATCGTACGGTGCTTGTTGTGAGGCCGCCCTGAGTCCCCCCTTCGGGGTGAGAAGAGCGGGGTATAAATATATGAAATAAATAATAATAAATAAACCATATTATTTTGGTAGAAAGAAAGCCTTCTAAGGAAGAGATAACATTGGTTTGTGTGTGTGTGTTTTTATCACTTTGGGCTACTGGTGCTGAGTCACACTGCTGCTAATAAGGTTACTCTGCTGTACACTTATGAACGATACAGAAGGGACCCCAGCCAGCCTAATCCATTCACTGTTCTGATTTGGGTATTTTCGCAAAACTTTTCTAAACTGTGCTTTGAACACTGTGGGAGAAAGAGCCAATGAGGTAGCATTTGCAACACCAGACAGTGAAGATATCATCCCATGTCCACTCAAAACACCACCTCATAAATATTCTCTTTCAAAATTATTTATCTATTTACAGCTTTTATATTCCGCCCTTCTCACCCCGCAGGGGACTCAGGGCGGATCACAGGGTACACATATATGGCAAACATTCAATGCCAATTGTGACATACAACATATACAGACATAGAGGCTATTTAACTTCTTCTGGCCGCCAGGGGAGCTATCGCTTTCAGCGTCCATCTGCGACACTGATGAAGTACTTCCACATGCTTTTTCTGGAGTGCTTGCTGGAGTCTTTTTTATGGTCTCATAAATTAGTTAATTTAGCCTCCCCACACTTGTAAGGAGCCCCCGGTGGTGCAGTGGGTTAAAGCACTGAGCTGCTGAGCTTGTTGATCGAAAGGTTGCAGGTTCGATTCCGGGGAGCGGCGTGAGCTTCCGCTGTCAGCCCTAGCTTCTGCCAACCTAGCAGTTCGAAAACATGCAAATGTGAGTAGATCAATAGGTACCGCTCAGGTGGGAAGGTAACAGCGCTCCATGCAATCATGCTGGCCACATGACCTTGGAGGTGTCTACGGACAACGCTGGCTCTTCGGCTTAGAAATGGAGATGAGCACCACACCCCAGAGTCAGACATGACTGGACTTAATGTCAGGGGACAACCTTTAACCTTTAACACTTTAAGGTGGTATCTAATTTTCCTACTTGACAACTATCTTTCGGGTTGCAAAGGTCGACAACAGGCTACACAATTGGTTGGAAACCCACTCCAACCCGGGCTGGCTTCGAACTCATGACACTCAGCCAGCTGCGCCACAATCTGAATTTAATCTGGCTCTTGCCACATAGGCAACTTGTTCCCCTACCACGTCATTAAATCCATGCAATCATAGAGTTATGGAAGCATAGCTTTGCTTATTTTGATTCATCTCATCCAGGTGAGAGCTTTGGCAACTTCAAGATGTAATGTGTTGGCATCAGCTCTTTTGGAACATACATACATACATACATATATATAGTGGAGCGTTCCAAAAGGGTTTGTTCTTGTAACTTGGTCTCTGTTGAAACACTTCATCATACTTTGTTTGTTTGCCCTGAATAAGATAATATATGGATGAAATACAGGAATTCCATTTTTTCAGTGTTCTCTATCGCAAGGGTGTTATAAATTTCCTTATCTTTTGAACAACTCCGATGCATTCTTTTGTGAGACTGTTGCAAATTGTATTATTCTTTAGATTAGTGACTTTTATGTTTTCCTTTTTCTCTGTGACTTCCTTTTCTTGTACATGCCATTTTGTTGTTGTATGCCACTTAAAAGGCTTTATGTGTGATTCTATGAATCATTCTTGGTAACTTGCATAGTTTAGCCTTGGAAGCTTAAAGAGAAGCAAGGTATTAATGCAGAAGGATAGATATAGGGCCTGTAGCCCTGTCATCTCTTGGCAAAATGCATCTCCTTGTGAAGAATAATAAAGCTGTCTTATATGACATTCCATTTATGGTCTATGTAGATGTTCAAGAGGGCCAGGAAATAGAACAGTGGTTCTCAACCTGGGGGTCGGGACCCCTGAAGGGGTCACGAGGGAGTGTTAGAGGGGTCACTAAAGACAATCAGAAAACACATTATTTTCTGTTGGTCATATGAGTTCTATGTGGGAAGTTTGTCCCAATTCTATCGTTGGTGGGGTTCAGAATGCTCTTTGATTGCAGGTGAACTATAAATCCCAGCAACTACAGCTCCCAAAATATCAAGGTCTATTTTCCCCAAACTCCACCAGTGTTCACATTTGGGCATATTGAGTATTCATGCCAAGTTTAGTCCAGGTCCATCATTGTTTGAGTCCACAGTGGTCTCTGGATYTAGGRGAACTACAACTCCAAAACTCAAGGTCAATGCCCACCCACCCCTCCAGTATTTTCTGTTGGTCATGGGAGTTCTGTGTGCCAAGTTTGGCCCAATTCCATTGTTGGTAGAGTTCAGAATGCTCTTTGGTTACAGGTGAACTATAAATCCCAGCAACGACAACTCCCAAATGACAAAATCAACCCCCTCCAACCCCACCAGTATTCAAATTTAGGCATATTGGATATTTGTGCTAAATTTGGTCCAGTGAATGAAAATACATCCTGCATATCAGATAGTTACATTACGATTGATAACAGTATCAAAATGACAGTTATGAAGTAGGAAGGAAAATAATGTTATGGTTGGGGGTCACCACAACATGCAGAATTGTATGAAGGGGTCGCAGCATGAGGAAGGTTGAGAACCACTGCAATAGAAGGAGGGTCCTTACTGACAATATGAAAGCATTAAAACGTCTTTTTTTACCCATCAGATATTGCTGAACACTCCCCGCCTCCCAATATATTGTGCTTTGTGGAAGATCCCGAGTTTGGATACAAGGATTTTACTAGAAGAGGAGAACAGACACCTCCAACTTTCCGAGCTCAGGTATTCCATCTCTGTGTATTCAAGATTGGCATTTTGCATGCATGTCCGTAGTTTCCGGCCTTTTCCCTTTCCCAAGTCTCTCAAACTCTGTTTCAGTTCTTCCCTTCGGTCCAGGATTGGGAAAGTGTAACCCACAGGGCCCATGTAGCCTCCAATGCCTATTTTTGTGGCCATTTATTGTTGCTTCCAGTTCACAGTAGGGATAAAAATTGTGTAATCCAACAATGCAGTTCCTCATTGCTGCATTTGTGTAAGTCCTGCAGACTCGGAGCCTTTGCATAGTTTGCTTGCATTGCATACTTGTTGTCATGACCTTATTTCCTGGTTTTGTGTGAAGCAAGGAAATTAGACCATGCCTTGGACCTGGCCTGTGTATATTTGAAACAAGGAGAGGGTTTCCATGGAAGTGGGAGCAATGAAGCGGAAGGGGCCAAGGTGAGGGATAGGAGGCATGAGGGAAACTGTCAGTTGGATTTTTGTTTGCTTTTAGAAATAAAGCCTTCCTACTTTGTTCGTGAGGTAATTTCTTCGCCAGAAAGCTACATTTGCTTTTCATGGTGTCCTTCAAAAAGCTCTCAAACCTTTTGCTTGTTTGTGGCTACCTTGCAATCTGAATTGGAGAGGCAACGTGGCAATTTGCAAGTTTTTTGGCAAGATGTGATACAACATCAAGGCTCTAGGTTCAGAACTTTAGCAATCTTAGATTTAAATGTGAGATGCAATATAATAATACTTAGATCTGTCAAGTCCAGGTTTGTTGTTGTTCATTCGTTCAGTCGTCTCCGACTCTTTGTGACCTCATGGACCAGCCCACGCCAGAGCTCCCTGTCGGCCGTCACCACCCCCAGCTCCTTCAAGGTCAGTCCAGTCACTTCAAGGATGCCATCCATCCATCTTGCCCTTGGTCGGCCCCTCTTCCTTTTACCTTCCACTTTCCCCAGCATAATTGTCTTCTCCAGGCTTTGCTGTCTCCTCATGATGTGGCCAAAGTACTTCAACTTTGTCTCTAGTATCCTTCCCTCCAATGAGCAATCGGGCTTTATTTCCTGGAGGATGGACTGGTTGGATCATCTGGTAGTCCAAGGCACTCTCAGAACTTTCCTCCAGCACCACAGCTCAAAAGCATCTATCTTCCTTCGCTCAGCCTTCCCTAAGGTCCAGCTCTCACATCTGTAGGTTACTACAGGGAATACCATGGCTTTGAGTCCATGGTTGAGTTATCCCTTATCCAAAATGGTTGGGATCAGAAGTGTTTTGGATTTTGGGTGGGGGTTTTTTTGGGGGGGGGGGGATTTGTAACACCTGTATTTTCATGAGCAGGCCGTCCCCGAGTTACAAACATCTGACTTACGAATGACTCATAGTTAAGAACAGGGGTGAGACAACAGGAAGTGAGGGAAATCTACAGCTAGGAAGGGAAATCCACTCCCAAAAGAGTTATTATCGTGGAGGAAAGGGTTCTCCACTGAAGCTTTCTCAACAATCCTTGTTTCCAGGACAACTCAAAATTTTCAAAATCCAATTATCACATGGACAGAAAATGAGGTGAAATCTTCTGAACAGGAGCACAGACAGCAAAGCAAACATAGGAGTGTTAAACCTTCCTCGTGCTGCCTAAAACTGTATATTCCTGAAGTTACACTTTAAAAATATCCCTATCTCAACTTACATACAAACTTACAGAACCTCTCTTGTTCATAACCTGGAGGCTGCCTGTACTGTCTTGGAGATGAGACACAAGTCTACACATCCCATTCATTTATATTTAATATACACCTTATTGAAATATCTCCAAAATATTTTTTTATAATTTGGTGCAAATTTTGTTTTGTGTACATGGAACCATAAGAAAGCGAAGTTCTATGTAGACAATTTTGGAGTATTTCGGATAAGGGATGCTCTCAACCTGTCCAACCTGCAGGAGTGTCGTAATTTCCCTTGCATGTCAAAAGTACATTGCAAAAGTACAATCACGATCCATTACAGGTCATTAGAGGATGCACAATAATATAAAAATATTTTTAAAGGCATTGTTTACATCAGGCATGGGCAAACTTTGGTCGTCCAGATGTTTTGGACTCCAACTCTCACAATTCCTAACAGCCTCAGGCCCCCTTAAGCGGCTGACGGGGAAAAGGAAGGGGCCTGTTAGGAATTGTGGGAGTTGGAGTTCAAAACATCTGGATGGCCAAAGTTTGCCCATGCCTGCTTCAATATGTTTTTGGATTACATCTGCCATCCTCCTTCACTCTTAACTGTGATGATGCGGACCTCAACAATATCTGGAGGACCACAACCCTGTGAGACACACAGATATAGAGATTATCTTGTTCTTCATTCAGGACTACACTTGGGAAGATCATGGCTATTCACTCATCAACCGCCTATATCCTGATGTGGGTCAGTTGCTCGATGAGAAATACCAGGTGGTCTACAACTTAACCTATAACACCATAGCCATGCACAGTGGGGTGGACACATCCATGCTCAGGAGAGCTATCTGGAATTATGTTCACTGCGTCTTTGGAATCCGGTATGTTACAAATACTTCACTATTTCCTCCTCTTATACCGTTTGTTAGCTTGGTCATTGGAATATACTTTATTATTATTATTATTATTATTATTATTATTATTATTATTTATACCTCGCTTTATCTTCCCCGAAGGGACTCAAAGCAGTTTAGCGTAAAAGGTGCTTTCAGTGTTTGTTGCCCTATCAAAATTTGAATTGTTAATTCCATAACCTATTGGAAATAAGTGCACCATAACCTTATTGAAAAGGTAAAAATGATGTCACATCCGTTTGGCAAATGTGGGGACCACCTTTTGAAAACCACTAGTCAAGAAAAGCATGGCCTTGTTGGAAGTCAACCTTTTGAACATGTGATATTCATAAGCATTCCTGTAATGGCACACAGGTAACTCAGCTGTTAAACTGAACAACCATTTATTTATTTTATTTATTTATTTACAGCATTTTTACTCCGCCCTTCTCAACCCGCGAAGGGGGACTCAGAGCGACTAACATAGGTAGCAATTCGGCGCCCATTAGCCGAAGGCCTGTTTCCAAAACCATGATTTTAAATTTTAATCAGAGTTTAATCTTAAAACTCTGATAAAGTGCTTCTGGGACATATTGCTGGAGTTGCTATTCTGGAAAGGCTGTCCCAATTAGTAACTGGCCCTACTCACAGTACTGGACACACATTAGATTTGGTTTTCTGCCAGGGATGGAGGGATGGTGGCGGTATAGAGGAGCTGACTATTGTTCCGTTGCCATGGACTGACCACTGCCTGATCAGGTTTAGGCTCACTGCACCCACTAACCTCTGCAGGGGTGGAGGACCCGTTAAGATGGTCCGCCCCAGGAGGCTTATGGATCCGGAGGGTTTCCTGACGGCTCTTGGGGAGTTTCCCGCCACTTCGGTAGATGATTCTGTCGATGCTCTGGTCACTCTCTGGAGTGGGGAGGTGGCCAGGGCAATAGATACGATCACTCCAGAACGTCCCCTCTCAAGTAGCCGAGCTAAACTATCTCCTTGGTTCAACGAGGAGTTGGCAGCGATGAAGCGAAGGAAGAGGGAACTAGAGAGTGTGTGGCATTCAGATCCAAGCGAGCCAAATCAAACACGGTTTGTGGCCTTTCTAAGGGCATATGCCGCGGCAATAAAGGCCGCAAAGAAATCAGGGAGCATACAACCCCCTTGTTTTGCCAGCTCCACTGGCTGCCAGTTTGCTACCGGGCCCAATTCATAGTGCTGGCTTTGGCCTATAAAGCTCTAAACGGCACTGGCCCAACTTACCTGTCCAAACATATCTCCCCTTACGAACCACTGAGGACTTTAAGATCATCTGGGGAGGCTCTGCTCTCAGTCCCGCCTTTGTCACAAGCACGTTTGGCGGGGACGAGAAACAGGGCCTTCTCAGTGGTCGCCCCTCGGCTATGGAACGCCCTCCCTAGGGAGATCAGATCTGCTCCCTCCCTCTTGACATTTCGGAGGCAAGTTAAAACATGGCTATTCGAGCAAGCGTTTACAAATACAGAGTAGCTAATATAGGAAATCGAATGACCTGACAATGAATTGGACAATGCTTGAGAATAATGAGATGCTGATGATGTTGTTTTTATTGCTTTTGTGATGTGTTATACTGTTTAATGTTTTTTATCTATATTATGATTTATGTATACTGATTTGTTGGAAACCGCCTTGAGTTGCCAATTGGCTGAGAAAGGTGGTATACAAATACAGTAAATAAATAAATAAATAGGTTCTTGTGGGTTTTTTCGGGCTATAGGGCCATGTTCTAGAGGCATTTCTCCTGACGTTTCGCCTGCATCTATGGCAAGCATCCTCAGAGGTAGTGAGGTCTGTTGGAAATAGGACAATGGGTTTATATATCTGTGGAATGGCTGGGGTGGGGCAAGGAGCTCTTCTCTGCTGGAGCTAGGTGTGAATGTTTCAACTGACCACCTTCATTAGCATTTGAAGGCCTGCCTGAGCCTGGGAAAATCTTTTGTTGAGAGGTGTTAAGATGTGCCTGGTTGTTTCCTCTCTGCTGTTTTGCTGTTGTAATTTTAGAATTTTTTAATTACAACAGCAAAACAGCAGAGAGGAAACAACCAGGCACATCTTAACAGTTTCCCATGCTCAGGCAGGCCTTCAAATGCTAATGAAGGTGGTCAGTTGAAACATTCACACCTAGCTCCAGCAGAGAAGAGCTCTTTGCCCCACCCCAGCCATTCCACAGATATATAAACCCATTGTCCTATTTCCAACAGACCTCACTACCTCTGAGGATGCTTGCCATAGATGCAGGCGAAACGTCAGGAGAAATGCCTCTAGAACATGGCCCTATAGCCTGAAAAAACCCACAAGAACCTAGTGATTCCAGCCATGAAAGCCTTTGACAATACAAATAAATAAATAATTTGTAGGTGAACTATAAATCCCAGCAACTACAAATCCGAAATGACAAACTCAATCCCCAACCCCACCAGTATTCAAATTTGGACATATCGGGTATTTGTGCCAAATTTGGTCCAGTCAATGAAAATAAATCTTGTGTATCAGATATTACGATGCACAACAGTAGCAAAATTACAGTTATGAAGTAGCAATGAAGATAAATTTTATAGTTGGGGGTCACCACAACATGAGGAACTGTATTAAGGGGTCACAGCATTAGGAAGGTTGAGAAATACTGATTTACATACATCTCCGCACCCCTTGCATCAGTTTTTTTTCCTAGTTGTCCCCAAACTTAGTTTAGTAATCATGGGTTAACTGTGGTTTGCTGATACATGCGAGTTGCCATGCAGCAGTGGACCATAGTTTGCCTCAAACTATGACAGTCACATAGGCAAGGAGGCGAGGGAAGGTATGCTCTCAGACCTCAGTCGCGTGGTGCCAATTATGGTTTGGTGTTATGTGTGGAAACAGGTTATGGGAAACTATTGTCCAGTGGCTTGGTCCTGTGCAGAATATCTCTTGTGTGGGTTTTGCAAGTTACATTGGGCTGAATCACTCTGCCACGTGGATGGCCTTGGGTCGGTCTTGTCCAACTGGTATGAATCAGAAACTGAGCCATCCCGTTGGCCAGAGAGGTGGGAGGTTGGGCACACTTGAACAATGTGGGAGGACTTGTCCCATTAGTGTCCCTGCTGGGTGTGCCACGTGCACAACAGGCTTTAAACCAAGAGGGCTGGCATAATTGTCTTGCTTTTTTAATTTTATTTTTCATTTTGTATCAAAAACATTGCATGGATTAGTATAAAACTGATAAAAATAGAAGGAGCACAACAGTAACCGTCTGTAGCCTCCAACAATTCTTCCTCTGTGCATGAGGCAGGGCATAGTGGACGAGCATACAGATGCAGAGTTGTCTGTTCTGCTCCACGGTCACACAAGGTGGAGAATCTTTTGTCCTGCTGACTTGGTGGAATTAAAGGAATTTTTCTTCTTGGGACAGGCGATAAATACATGTATTTTTCAATAGGGATGTGCAAAACTTCGCAAAACCTTACTGTTTTTGGATCTGTTTTCAGCTGCCCCCCCATTGTGTTTTCTGAGCTGTTGCCGAAATAGGGAAGGGTGTTCTGTTTTCATTCTGGAAAGATTTGGCCCATTGAAGAGAATGGGGAAACTTTAGAGGCTTGTTTCTCAGTCATTTTTAGGCCTATCAGGAGGGCACTTTTTTCAACCTTAATAATAATAATAATAATAATAATAATAATAATAATAATCTATATAAATAAAAATGTAATGTTCATTTGTGGGATTAACAGATCTCAAAAACCACTGGACGAATTGACACCAAATTTGGGCACAATACACCTAACAACCCAATGTATGTCCTTCACTCAAAAAATGATTTTGTCATTTGGGAGTTGTAGTTGCTGGGATTTATAGTTCACCTACAATCAAAGAGCATTCTGAACTCCACCAATGATGGAATTGAACCAAACTTAGCACACAGTTCTCCATGACCAACAGAAAATACTGGAAGGGTTTGGTGGGCAGTGTCCTTTGGTTGTGGAGTTGTAGTTCACCTACATCCAGAGAGCACTGTGGAGTCAAACAAGGGTGGATCTGGACCAAACTCTACACAAATACCCAATATGCCCAAATGTGAACACTGGTGGAGTTTGGGGAAGATAGAACCTTGACATTTGGGAGTTGTAGTTGCTGGGATTTGTAGTTCACCTACAATCACAGAGCATTCTGAACCCCACCAATGATAGAATTGGGCCAAACCTCCCACACAGAACAGCCATGATCATGAGAGTGGGCCACAGCAATGGGTGGCAGGGGACGGCTAGTAATAATAATAATAATAATAATAATAATAATAATAATAATGCTTTATTTATACCCCGCCACCATCTCCCCAAGGGGACTCGGGGCAGCTTACATAAGACCAAGCCCAACAACACATCAGTAAAACAACAAAGCAGTCAGCAAATAAAATAATACAATTAATATAACTCACATATAAGCAATAACACACAAAATTTAAAACCTTATGGCTGGGCCAGATTTAATAAATTAAAAATTTAAAAATAAACACTGGGCGTGAACAGAGGTAGGATGTATCTAAGCAGGAGATAATGTAGGGAGACAACCTAACGGGTAGTTAAAGTGCTTCTGAGGACCTGAAGCAAGTTTCTCAACTACCTCCAAGTAGTATTAAAGGACTGTTTATAGTATGAGCAGTACTTGCAATAAAGAGCAGAGGCAAGAGCTTCTTTCCACAGGAAGACTTGGTCTTTTGTTGCAGCTATTTACAGTATTCACAGCTCTCTCCAGAATCTTCCAATTCACCATACATCATCACCACATCCAACCCCAACTTATTCTGTTGGTATTCTTATAGATACTTTAATGATGTAATGTTCCATTCATGCTTTCATTACACCTGATGCAAACGTAACTTCAGGGTTTCATTATCCTCATGTGTCATCACTGTATCTGTGACTCAGCACTTACAATACTTAAAGTAACCCAGCATTTTATCTTCAGGATAGGTTAGTATATTTTAAAAGTTCGACAAACTTTTCACTCTTGTAGGCCACATGTATGACTGGAAAGTACCTGCCAACTTTCAGAACGTTTCACCAATCCACTAATTTTGGGGAATTTAAAAAAAGTTTTTACCACAACCACAAGAGGGTTCTGGGAATTGTAGTAGCTGTTGGTTGCGTCCATTGTTAGCCAATCAGAGATCGCTGCTGGTTGTGCCCATTCTCAGCCAATCAAAGTTCGCTGCAGGTTGGGTCCATTCTCAGCCAATCAGAAATCGCTGCTGGTTGTTTACATTCTCAGCCAATCAGAGATCACTGCTGGTTGCGTACATTCTCAACCAATCAGAGATCGCTGCTGGTTGTGTCCATTCTCAACCAATCAGCGATCGCTGCTGGTTGTGTCCATTTTCAACCAATCAGAGATCGCTGCTGGTTGTGTCTGTTCTCAGCCAATCAGTGATCACTGCTGGTTGTGTCTATACTCAACAAATCGGAGATCGCTGATGGTTGTTTTCATTCTAAGCCAATCAGAGATTACTGCTGGTTGTGTCTGTACTCAACCTATCGGAGATTGCTGTTGGTTGTGTCCATTCTCAGCCGATCAGAGATTGCTGCTGGTTGTGTCCATTCTCAGCCAATCAGAGATTGCTGCTGGTTGTGTCCATTCTCAGCCAATCAGAGATCGCTGCTGGTTGTGTCTATTCTCAGCCAATCAATGATTACTTCTGGTTGTGTTTATACTCAACCAATCGGAGAACACTGATGGTTGTTTCCATTCTCAGCCAATCAGAGATTGCTGCTTGTTGTGTCCATTCTCAGCCAGTCAGTGATCACTGCTGGTTGTGTCCATTCTCAACCAATCGGAGCTAATTTTCCCATTGAAATGCTATTAATCGATTCCAGCCCTCTGACCCCCCCCCCCCATTTTTTTGTTACGTGTCTTTGCATAAGAAAAAAATTCTCCTGTTGCAAGCATTTTTTGTTCATCAGCAATATCTTGCCAGTGCGGTCTCAAAGGGTTTTATTGTTTTATCTTAACTTTTATCATTGTTAACATTGTTATTTTAAAATACAAGCCTTAAATGTTTGATGGGCTTGTTTGACCAATGATCTGACCTTGTGTAAAGCCTTTTGTTTCTGTCTTCACCCCTCTCCAGATACGACGACTATGATTACAGGGAGGTGAACCAGCTTTTGGAGCGTAGTTTGAAAATCTACATCAAAACGGTAGCCTGCTATCCAGAGAAGACCACCAAGAGAATGTACACTCACTTCTGGAGGCACTTCAAACATTCTGAGAAGGTGAGAGAAAGCCTGTGTCCACCTCCTCTTTCTTCTGGGACCTTAAAGACTAGTCTGGGCTTGAGACTTAACACACAGCAAGGACAAGAGACTTTTTCCGATGAGTAAAAAATAGGAACTGGCCCAAGATCACAGAGAAGGTGTGGACTAGACACTTGTTGCGCCCAAATGTGAACAGCTTCACCATGGCAGTAATTCTTAGCTAGTGGGTTAAGGAAAATTACCATATTTATTTGAATCTAATGTGCCATTGAATAATAATAATAATAATTATTATTATTATTATTGTATTGTCGAAGGCTTTCATGGCTGGAATCACTCAGTTCTTGTGGGTTTTTTCGGGCTATATGGCCATGTTCTAGAGGCATAGGAGAAATGCCTCTAGAACATGGCCATATAGCCCGAAAAAACCCACAAGAACTGGATTATTATTATTACTATTATTATTATTATTATTATTATTATTATTATTATTATTATTATTATTAGAAACACAACAAGATGAGTCCATAGCAAACAAGGTCACTCTGCTGGCTGTTGTATTGGATCACACATCGGACACTTCCCAAGTGTCTAGGACGGTGTGATGCATCAGCGAATAATGCGTGCACATTCCAGTAAGGTAGCTTTTTGCAGCTGGCAAATGGTAATTTTGTCAGTGCTGGTTGTGTTTAAGTGCAGGCCAAGGTCTTTAGGCACTTCACCCAGTGTGCCAATCACCACTGGGAACACCTTGACTGGCTTGTGCCAGAGTCTATGCAGTTCAATCTTTAAATCCTCATATCGTGTCAACTTTTAAGGTTGTTTCTCTTCAATCCTGCTGTTGCCTGAGATCTCAACATCGACGATCCATACTTTGTTTTTTAACACGATTGTGAGGTCAGGAGTATTGTGCTAGTTGTCTTTTCTGCAAGAGTCCGATTATGGAAGCCAAGATCCAAAAGTCTGCTCTTATCTGACTTGCAGGCTACTGTATCTTCAGTTGAATCCGTGTCTGTCTGAGGCCCTGCAGTGTCCTCCACAGCTCCCTCACTCCTTCCTTACTTCCTTCCTTCCTTCTCACTCCCTCCCATTCATGCTCCATGCTTTTGTTCCCCTTTGACCCATTGCTCCTTGTCTTCTAGGTGCACATCAACCTTCTTCTGTTGGAGGCGCGCATGCAAGCTGCCCTGCTGTATGCGCTGCGTGCCATCACCCGCTACATGACCTGACTGGGCGCTGCTCCCCTCACCCTCAGAGTGGCGATGAACCGGACGGACTGGAGATTACTTTTCTCAAAAGACTTGTTTTTTTCTGGAATACAATGTAGGGTAGGGATACCTGTCTTGCCTCACCCTTAACCTGTCGCTTTCTGGAGAGGCATGTTTTCTGTTTCAAGGGGGTCTTGATCACCTTCCTCCAAGAAACAGCAAGCTAAGGGGGGCAGATTGTTTTGTGGGTTGAGGTGGTAGCAGGAGGAGAGACCAAACTGTTCAGTCACACATGTGATGAATGCAGATGATGTTGCCCAACCTTTGCCCTCTTCCTCTAAGACTCTGGACTTGTCCTGTGCTTTCTCTTGAGTTGTTTAAGCCCTGCTACCAAGTGGGCAAATGGTTTCAAGGACTGCCCATTCTTGCCGGGACACTTGAAAACTCGGTGTCCCTATATGGGTCCGGTACGTGCCCAAATTTCCAGCCTCACCGTCCTTTGGCTGCCTTTGCCACCCTCTTCCCTCCATAACTGGTGTTTAGTGCAATGAATGTTGGATCTCATGGCTGTGTCCTTTCTGACAAAGGTGCTGCTGAAACAAAGACACAATCAACCAAAGAGATCTCTCTGCTGTGAAATGGCACTGCTCCTTCCCCCCTTCCCCCTTTTCTCTTCATGTGGCCTCTACTGACTGTAGGACTCTTGAATGTATGACTCTGAATGTTCAAGCAGATTCCTCATCTCTCTTTTCTTGCTTGGGAAGCTGTTTGGGTGGTTTATACACATTTATATGGAGGAGACACATATGTGAACCTGAAACGAGCCGTATGCCGCTGCAGTTGGCAACTACACTACATTGCTCATTTCTCAGCTCAGTTGAGGATTGCACTCCAATTTGCCTTATTTTGCACAGGAAGACAGGCACATCTCTTTGCCACTGGCCTAGGAATAGAACAGGATTGGGGAACACTCAGTCCTCCCAGTGTTTTTTTGGGCTGCCACTCCCACCAGCCTTAGCTCACAGAGTCAAGGGGTGAGATAAAACCGGAGTTGCATTCTGGCTATATCTGGACGGCAATACACTCCCCACTGATAGAACAGAAGGTTACGTGAAAAGGTCCTGATGACAATTTTACTACAGGAAACCAATTTCTGAGCGAAAGTATAGATACACATGTCTCTGGTGTAGGAAGAGAGTGCAATTTGTGAAAGTGTAGGTGCAGCAGGTTGTGGGTCTGTGCCTGCTGTCCTTTTCCCAAGGACTTTAAAAAAAACACGTCTCAGTATTACACAGATCATATGTTTCTTTGTATTGTAAGAAATTGGTGCTGTCCCAATGTAATTCTGGCTGGCTGGGGATATATACACATGCATGCCCCAAGCTTGATCTACCATAACTGGTCTCACTTGAGAGTTCTGCTGGTCTAGATAAGAAGAAAGAAGATCAGGTATGGGCAAATGTTGGCCCTCTAGATGTTTTGGACTTCAACTCCCACCATTCCTAAAAGCCTCAGACCCGTTCCTTTTCCCCCTCAGCTGCTTAAGCGGCTGAGGGGGGAAAGGAAAGAGCCTGAGGCTCTTAGGAATGGTGGGAGTTGAAGTCCAACACACCTGGAGGGCTGAAGTTCACCCATGCCTGGAGTAGATCATTAAACTGTGAAAAGAAATGTTGAGGTGACTTCTAAAACCCATCCAGCTATTCTTCCTTCCACTTGAAGGAAGACTCTTGTGTCCATTATTTCAAAGTGTTACCTCCATCAGGCATCAGCAAGGGGAGTTGGTGGCTCTCCATGTTTTGGTGGGCTTTCCACCTGACATTGTTCCCTGACCTTTGCCCAGTTGACTAAGACTGTTGAACATCTGGAGCAGCGATTCCCAACCTTTGGTCCTCCAGATGTCTTGGACTTCAGCTCCCACAATTCCTAACGCAGTGGTTCTCAACTTGTGGGTCCCCAGATGTTTTGGCCTACAACTCCCAGAAATCCCACCCAGTTTACCAGCTGTTCGAATTCCTGGGAGTTGAAGGCCAAAACATCTGGGGACCCACGGGTCGAGAACCACTGCCATAGGGTCTCATGATGCTGCAAAAGAAATGAGGGTTTACCACACTTAGGTGTATTTCAGCCTCTTTGGGCTTCAGTCTATCACTGAAAATAGGGAATTGACAAGAAGGGTTCCATTTCGGTAGTGAGCTGCTGCTGCTTTTGCCAGTTAAATAATACATTACTTCATACCTTCTTCAAGATCTTGAATATCTTGGGTAAGATTCAGATATATTTAAATACAATTAAGTGATTAGTTTGTACTTAGAATTTCAATGATACCCTAGTCAAGGAATAAGGAATCTGTGATTGTCCAGATGTTTTAGACTTTGGCTCCTTGAAACGGAAGTGAACATGACCCAATGGCAAATCTTTAGAGTAATTGCTGTTAGAGATCTATGAAGGATCAAATTTCCCCCAGCAAATGGTTACAACCCTGCAAAGGTCAAGATCAGTATTGACATATTGTGGATATGGAAAGGGCTGGGGCTGAGACGTTATTGTATGTAAGATCATCTATACCAGTGGTTCTCAACCTGTGGGGTCCCCAGGTGTTTTAGCCTACAACTCCCAGAAATCCCAGCCAGTTTACCAGCTTTTAGGATTTCTGGGAGTTGAAGTCCAAAACACCTGGGGACCCACAGGTTGAGAAACACTGTCCTAACATATGCTAAACTGGCTGGGATTTCTGGGAGTCGAATTTCAAAACACCAGAAGGGCCAAAGGTTGGAAACTACTGGTCTGGAAGGAGACCTATTGCCCGTCTCTGTCTGAAGATGACACTTTGTGGCCATCCCTCCTTTTACATTAAGGAATCTCAGCATTTCCCCTTTAAATTGGAAAAAAAATATGTGTGAAAGTTCTAAATACTTGGAGTATGTCTGCATCTCCGTGTCTTGGCTCCTTTTTGCATATGTCTTCAAGAATTTAAACCTCATTCTTAGAGTTCTAGAGAAAACCAAGCAAGCAATTACTTTGTATGTGTTGTCGAAGGCTTTCATGACCGGAATCACTAGGTGGTTGTGTGTTTTCCAGGCTGTATGGCCATGTTCCAGAAGTATTCTCTCCTGATGTTTCACCTGCATCTATGACAGGCATCCTCAGTAGTTGTGAGGTCTGTTGGAAACTAGGAAAACCGGGTTTATATATCTGTGGAATAATGTCCAGGATGGGAGAAAGAACTCATGTCTGTTTGAGGTAGGCGTGAATGTTTAAATTGGCCGCCTTGATTAGCATTGAATGGCCTTGCAGCTTCAAAGTCAGACTACTTCCTGCCTGGGGGAATCCTTTGTTGGGAGGTGTTAACTGGCCCTGATTGTATCTTGTCTGGAATTTCTCTGTTTTCTGAGTGTTGTTCTTTATTTGCTGTCCTGATTTTTAAATACTGATAGCCAGATTTTGTTCATTTTCACGGTTTCCTCCTTTCTGTTGAAATTGTCCACATGCTTGTGGATTTCAGTGGCTTCTCTGTGTAATCTGACATCGTGGTTGTGAGAGTGGTCCAGCATTTCTGTGTTCTCAAATAATATGCTGTGTCCAGGCTGGTTCATCAGGTGCTCTGCTATGGCTGACTTCTCTGGTTGAATCAGTCTGCAGTGCCTTTCCTGTTTTTATTATTATTATTATTATTATTATTATTATTTGTGTTTGGGCGCTGTGTTTAGTGGAAGAAACAATAAAACAGACAAGAGTTCTTTCTCCCACCCTGGATGTACCACAGATATATAAATGCAATTTTCCTAGTTTCCAACAGACTTCACAACCTCTGAGGATGCCTGCCATACATGCAGGCAAAACATCAGGAGAGAATGTATTGTCGAAGGCTTTCATGGCCGGAATCACTGGGTTGTTGTAGGTTTTTTCGGGCTATATGGCCATGGTCTAGAGGCATTCTCTTCTGACGTTTTGCCTGCATCTATGGCAAGCATCCTCAGAGGTAGTGAGCTGTTAGACCATCACCACATTACCTCTGAGGATGCTTGCCATAGATGCAGGCGAAACGTCAGGAGAGAATGCTTCTAGACCATGGCCATGTAGCCCGAAAAAACCTACAACAACCCATCAGGAGAGAATGCTTCTGTAACCTGGCCATACAGCCTGGAAAACACACAACAACCCAATCCTTTTGAAACTGCTAGTCGGTCGTGACAATCTTAGGATGGGACCTGTGGCCCCCTGTGAAAATGCAAATCCTTCCAGTCATTTCTGAATTCTATGAAAATACTCATTTTTGAAGCAATCAACTCTGATTACAAGGGCTAAATTTAACCACAAACAGCAGTTTGTTGAAGTTGAGCCTTTCAGGGGCACTTGTGTCTTATTAACTTCAAGCCAGCACTGCCTCCCTTTGCGAAGTGTGGTCAGGTCAGAAAAGGCGGCCATTACATCCTAAACCAGACACTCAGAGTGTTCAATGAGTTCCCTTTGACAACAACGGCCAGGATTTGCTTAATGTCAGCGGAGATGGAAAAGTAAATCTAACCTTGGATCAGCTGTACCCACAGAAACTGAAGCTGTATCCAGAGAAGTGCAACGTGGCGCCATCAAGTCGGAAGGGACTACAGAAGCCATCTAGTCCAGTGTGCCTGCCATGCACACATATGCAACTAAAACACTCCTGAGAGATGACTGTCCATCCAACGTCGATGAAGGATAGTCCACCATCTTTCACTTGGGATTAATTCAGTTGGTTTCTTTGAAGCTTTCATCCACTAGTTTGTTAGAAGAAAAGGTGCTTTGGTAACTTTTATTATGGAACTTTTGTTTTCCTTTTCAAAAATCATTGCTAAAGTATAGAGATTATGAATTATTTCCTTGTTTGCTTGAATTTTTTGTTTACTTATAAACCAGGCATGGACCAACTTGGGCTCTCCCTTCAGTTGTTTTGGACTTCAACTCCCACCATTCCTAACAGCCTCAGGTTTAAGCAACAGAGGGGGAAAACGAAAGGGCCTGAGGCTGTTAAGAATGGTGGGAGTTGAAGTCCAAAACACCTGGAGGGAGAGCCCAAGTTGGCCCGTGCCTGTTGTAAACTGTCACGTTCCCTGGAACCTGCTCAGTTCTTTCTGTAATTGTTTCTTGAGAAAATGCAAAAGATGTGTTTTTTTGTAGAACTGTGAAATGTCTTATTTGCTACTTGGATCATTCATGTGCATATATTATCACATGCAAGGTATGCACACTGTTTGCTTTACTCTGCCTAAAAACAGCACGCAGTACCTGTCTAGTTAATTTTTGTGCCCATTCTACAAGGTTGCTTATCTTCTGCTAATTTTCCTCGAGCATTAAAGGTTATGTTTTGCACCACCAGTGCCAGAATTTGCAGTGTGCGTGGATTTAGGACACCGGGGGATCCAAAAGGGAACTTGACAAATCTCTGCTGCATCGTTGCCCATGGCCATATCACGCATTCAGATGGGAAATATACCGTGCAATACAAATAAATGCTAGCTTGTCTCATTGAAGTGAGCTGAGCTGGCCTCAACTCTTTCTTGCAAGCTGTTTTTTTTTTTTTTTTTTTAGAAATATCCTTTATTTCCTCATCGGTTTGATTTTGCAAGTGAGAAAAATATGGTCATTCTTTTCTTTGAATGATGTAGAAGTGTAACCCAGATCTCTGCCATTGGTGACCTTTTTGCTGCCACAAGTTTCTCCTCTTCAGTGTCAAATGTTAAACCAGGCAACCTCTGCAATCCTGACTGTGGTCTCCATATCTTCAAACAGGTTAAAATGTGTCAAATAGGTTCAAATGTGTGTTGTTGTTTTTTTTAAAAAAAAAAATGTATTTACTCCCAACTGTTCCAATGTGACTTTGCTACCAGTTCTTGTTTGGTTGGTGGTTTGTTTTGTTTTGTTTTTTTGAGAAATAAAGTTGTCTTTTTTGTTTTCCAAAGAGTTGTTTTGAACTTCATTCTGGGCTGTGTCAACTTAAAAAAGAACCATAGACGACACCAAATTGGGAGGGATAGGACTGGGGCCAACATCTTTATTAATGACTTAGATAAAGGGTTAGAAGCCATGATCATCAAGTGTGCAGACAGGACCAAATTGAGAGGGACAGCTAATACCCCAGAAGAGAGGAGCAGAATTCAAAGGGATCTGAACACTAGGCTCCTCGTGATGCAGGCCAAAATCCTGGTTCATGTTCCCCTTCCTTCCCACGAGGACTTCCAAGATATTTTCCACACGGCCTGATGTCAAGCCAGGCATCGTCCCTCATTCTGTCTCTTTGCATTTCATTTTTTTTTCTACCTAAGTGGAGTATCTTGCATTTGTCCTTCTTGAACTTCATGTTGTTAGTTTTGGCCAATCATCTCTCTAATCCCCTCCTTGGAAGAAACTTTGAATCAAAAATCCTAGAGTTGGAAGAGACTTTGAGGGCCATCCAGTCAGGGCTGAAGCCAGAAAAAAATTTCGGGGGGGGGGGTGAAAATTTCGGGGAGGGTTGAAAATTTGGGGGGGGGG